TATGCACCGTAACAGAAAGTTGCAGGGGAAATGAGATATTTTTAGTAGCAGAGCTTGAGGAACGAAAGAAGCAATGGCGGGAGTCGATACTCAGAAATAGCTTTTCTCTTTGATCGGCGACTTCATCTTCTTCGCTGATTAGTGTGCTCTCTACAAAGCAAACGGTGACTGGAGAGTGAGAAATTTTCCGGTGGAGCTAAAGCGGAGGAAGAAAAAAGCATGGCGCAGAAGGAGCATCTCTCTACGATCGGCGACTTGACCTCTGGAGGTAAGATCTTCCTGCATGGTTTTGTAAAACGATCGGGTAAATGCTTAGTTATGATGATCTGAAACGGTGAAATTTGAAAAACGATTGGGCGTAAATGCTTAGTTATGATGATCGGAACTTGATTTGGTGGAGATTTAGGGATTACGACAGGATTTGATCGTAATCAGAGATATATTTTTTCTGATTGTTGGTGGTTTTCTTCTCGTCTAGTGCCAAGTGTGGCTGGGTTGAAGAAGAAAATCGAGTATCTCGAATCGGAACTTGATGCAGCGAAATTAGCTCTCGACGAACTAGAGCATGCTAACGAAGAAGAGGAGAATGATCCCGATGACGACCAAATTGAAGCATCTTCTAACGAAATAAAGGTTTCATGACTTCAGATTTACTTCCTCATATCTATTTGTGTTCACAGAGCTTGTCTTTGTGCTTGATCTCTTAAGGAACTTCAGGAGAGCTTCGTGAAGAGAATCAAAGACTCGAGAAATCCAACGAGCAGACACAGGATCAAGTGCAGAGTGATGTGCAAGAGATGGATCAGAAAATTCGGGAGCTTCAGAAAGAGAATGTTCACAATGAGCTGACACAGAATCGACAGGAATCTAATATGCTTCAGAAGGAACTGGAGGGGCTTCGTGAAGAGAATCAAAGACTGAAGATATCCATTGAGCAGACAGAGGAACAAGTGCAGAGGGATGTGAAAGATATGGATCAGAAACTCAAGGAGCTTCGTGAAGAGAATCAAAGACTGAAGAAATCCATTGAGCAGACAGAGGAACAAGTACAGAGGGATGTGCAAGATATGGATCAGAAACTCAAGGAGCTTCGTGAAGAGAATCAAAGACTGGAGAAATCCAACAAGGAGAGTGTTATTTGTGAGCAAAATTTGCTGAGAGATGTGCAAGAGAAGGGTGAGCAACTGAATGTGCTTGTGGAACGGAATAAGAAACTGATGCTATCCAACCAGAACAACAAGGAGAGACAAAACCAATTGGAGAGAGAAGTGCAAGAGAAGGGTGAGCAACTGAATGTGCTTGTGGAACGGAATAAGAAA